GAGGCCAGTTAAGCTAAAGTCGATGTTAGAGACTGGTTTATGTTTAAGCAAACTAGTCTGGATATTAAAGCTTCAACGCGAAAATCTCCAGTATATCCACCTTATTGCAAGTTTTGCTTACCAATACGACGTCAGACGTATAAATTTGTTTGTTTTTATTTTCGTCGGGTATGTCGGTGAATATCTAAAGCAAAAACGTAACAAAACTATTCTTTCTGAAGTCTTGAAGGTAATTTTAGTATGTTCATTATCTACGCCACTTTTTTTCGACTAGATGTTTTCAAAGGCACTAAAAATGTACTTCACCTTAGTACATCCATCTGAGGCTAATGGGAACCGCTCGGAGGTATTTATCAGGGAAAACGTTAGGCGAATCAAGCGAGCATATAAGTTGCAAATACTTAACCATCCATAGGCATTATAAAATTTAATTAAAAGTTAGGATTCTGGATTGAATGAAAAACGTTTGCTCAGTATCGAGGAACCTGGCTGCCTTCCCACATTTTCTCTGATACTAAACCGTAGTAATAGATTCCCACACAGAATTGTTAGAAATATGGGATTTATGCGCCTACGCCGATGTGATCCTAAGGAATACCCCTGACCGCAGCGCCAGGCTGCGGCATCAATCGAAAACGACCATGATTTGAAAATACTAGACGGTTGACAACGTATAGCCCAGTTGCATTTATCAAAGAATGCTCTGCAATAGAAAAGACCGGATGCGTATGGAAAAACATCCTTTTCCACAACCTACAGACATTAAAGCTAACTGACAAGGGCTTACGTAAGCGTCATATCCTTCCGATATACGTTGTGTCGACGCTGTGCTACGGCGTCCAATCACTGGCAAATAAAAATCGTAAAAATATATTTAATAATAAATAGGGCTTTGAAAACGTATGGCACAACAGTATCTAGTAAGATACACTAACAGATTAGTTGAATGGTGTAAAAAACGACGGTCGATACGTAATAAATTAACTGTTATAATTTAAGTAAAATACAGTGCTTTTTAGTAGCTGAAGAACAAGCGTTACTGGTACCTAATGCAAACGTTACGCTACAGACAAACTCCAGCAACGTCGCGAAGAATTTATGATGTACGAGATTGCGGTATTACGATTAAAAGCGGTACGAGACTCAGTACATAATATTGCCAAACAGACATTCTTCTCGGCTGAGTGCGAAATAATACAAATCGTCTTTGCTTAAAAAAGCTGAACGGCAAAAAAATAATCATCGCAACCGGAAGGCCGACTCCTGGAACTTTCGCGCAACCTCCACCCTGAAGGATGTTTCACTCTCGGATTGGATAACACAATAGTACTTGTAATATTACATCAATATACTACTTTCTAGATCTTAAACGCGAGAGCAGTGTGTCCACGTAAGTACCTCGTAGGCATTATGTCGCCTGAGGTACATGTCTGTGATAGAACGAAATGCGTATACTCCGTTGTGTTGCATGTATCACAGGATAGAAACAGAAACCCTACATGTTATCTCAGGCAAAATGGCCTTAGAGTATAAAAATCGCACAGTTTCAGTTGTGATGTGCTAATATACACAATGAGTTTGTCTTAGATGCAAACTTCCTGTAATGCGCGAAGGAGATCGTTATGTTTGCGGCAATCGAGGCTCAAAAGCTTCGATTTTTTTTTTGTGAAACGCTTTGCGGGGAACGGACAGCATTTATAGGAATCTATAGGATCTATGACATCTACTAATAACGTGCCCTTTCACCATCATCACTGATGTATTAATTGTCGCTGTTACCAGGACACTCTGTATGGTCTCATGGGACCCGCATTGAATTCTCCGAAGAGTATTTTGTTCCAACAGGATAATGTCGTCAACCACAGGGTTTGTAGGAGCATTTTCCGGTCTCATATTTGGTCTTCCGGTCGGTCGATCTCAAAAACTACAGACTTCTCGTGGTCGCCGCGCTTTTTGTTAACGAGCCTCGATTACGTCCTTTAGGGTTATATGAACTATGAGGTTTGCACGAATAAAGTAGTAAGAAAGAGGCAAAAAGGCCTAAGTTCAAGCACAAGTTGAACCGATTAATGGTGACATGATGTCAATTAAAATAGTACTGCTCATTACGTTTTTGTGCCGGGAAATAGGCGTGCTTCACGCATTAACGAGTAGACCGTCGACAGATTAGACCAAACGCAGCTTAATTTTTTCGCTTTTTCAAGCGAAAACGAGTTCACTAAGGACATCGGGACAGGTCCTACACTGAGATCGCCTCCTTTAATGGTAGACATAGTTTACTGGTGATTAAACACCAACTTTTTGCGTAACCGCAAAAAGACCCTTTAGTCCACAGTTCCCTATGTCGAAAGTTACGTATTGTACCAGTAAAATCTTCGTATAAATGTGCGCCAAATTAGCAGATGGTTATCCACGTTAGGGACTAACAAGTTGATACTGAACTTGTTTCATCCATCCAGCACACTAGAAACCGTAGTCCTCAGCCATAGTGGTATCAAGAATAGAAGTTCACTTACCTTCCTCGATTTTAAACGTAGAGGACATAGCTTTGTTCTCGAAATCGACACAATATCCTTTGTAGAGACTGAGTGGTCCATAAGTTGGCCAGAGTAGGACAAAGGTAGCCAAGCGAACATAATAACAATTTAATCAGTAACTGTATTTGCATTCGACACTGCTAATCTAGAGACTACGCAAAACAATGTTGCTGGTAGAGCGTAGGTAGAGCGTAAAAACTTCAACTTGTATCAAAAGCATTTTGTGTCTCTCAGCACATTCTAGGAGAGTAAATGAGGTCGCTAAACTTTAGAAGTCGTAGAGTCCATAACATAACTCGAAAACACTTCGACTTAATTCTAATTTTAATTTTACTCATTGGCAACCTAGCTTACATCCCACTAGAAAATCATACATCGGCAATTTATGATGTGAGCTATATACGCATCCGTGTTGATATAGAAGCGAAGCCAGTACAGCCTATTTAATACAACTGAGTTGATGTCGTTTGTGCAATTAATATATAAAAAATACGGGAATGTTTTACCTTGATCAGGCAAAATAAATGCCAGCCAATCGTGCCGGACGGTTGTCTTAGTAAGGCGCTTTTCTAAGCGGGGAGCTTCGAGCTATCGGGCGCCTGCGCTGTCCGGAACTGACGACGCACGCAAGCCACCCATAAATAATTGTCTCTCTATGGGTTGCAATGCATGCGAGTAATTAGAGATAAGACGGATTTCTTTATTGATATTCTAGATCATAAGCATTATACGGGTTATCCATATAGTTGCACACCATTAACTCGGATTTAAATTGTAACGCATATTTACAATACCTAAGTACTGATGACCGTATTCACAGGGTAAGAGACTGAATGGGCAATGTTGAAACTTCACGTAGGAGGCTTCATGTCACGCATCAAAATTTCTCCGGCTTCGCGCATGATTGAGCTTATAAATCATTTCGATAATTCTATAATATTATTCTATAATATTTCAATAATAAGCTATACCTCGAAGGTTGTAAACCGCGTGTGCACTTCAGCTCATACCTTACTTGCATCCGTATTACTATCTCTCTACTACTAGTAAATATGCCGTTCATAAAATGGGTTTTATTTATTTTTCAAAATTAATTCAACATGAATTATTTAAGAATTCGTTGAACTTCCGTGTGATACCTGTATAGTGATAGTTCGGATGGCCTATTCAATTACTCAAAGGCCTTTGTTTCTGCATAACTAATATGTTTCTGCCCCTTGGACAGGCATCAAGTCTAGTAATTATCTAAGGCAATGTTATTACTCTACTGCTCGAGATGTTAACAGTATAACCAAATGTAAATATTCCTTTAATGACAAAAGTTAATACCGAAGACTTTTGTAAACGGCAGTCATATTTCTCAGATAAAAAAAAAAAATACATTTTCTTTGTTCTTCTCGAAAATTATCTACCAAATATTTTCCTGAGAAACTCATTCCTAACACGAACTGATAGCCAGACAAACTGTCAGGTATACAGTCGTCGGTGCTACATCATCTATTACCAAATGATCATACTTTATGTTTAAATATCATGCACTTCATATGGATAACGACACGCAGGCCTATGAAAAAAAAACTTGCCATTCAATAAAAGTTGTATAACCTGTTCACCGACACAGCGTACGGAGACAAGTAATCGTACACAGAAAATTCAATGAGCTAGGCTCACAATATTTCGAAGCTAGCAGATTTTCCAATCACTAGCAGATTACGGTGTTATTATGATTTCTACCACAATTTCAAACCGCTTTTGCCATTATCGTGCATTAATTCTAATAATTATTGTGCATAAATGCGCTAGATGTCTTCATCACATGCAAACGAATCCGATACCAGCTCATTTTATCTTCTATTATATAATCTTCTCTTGTGGCGAAAACGATAACAACCAATCGCGCTTCCGTCGAGAGAAGCTTACATGCAGCGAACGACTCATCATTCAGTTTCATCGTCGTTGCTGACGAAAACAGGCGATTAGAAAGAAAGCGTGCGCCCGGCTACTGCCATGGGGTAATAGACATGGTAATAATGGCTACATAGTGGCTGTCTGCGATGGCTAGCTCGCCTTCATGCGCACGGGTCTTCCTGCATCAGCAGCAGCAATAACAGCAGTGACCGCACAGCATGCTGTGTCTAGGGTTAATGGTAGCTGTTTAATCCCAAAATATCAACGGGCGAACAAACCACCCTCACAACAGCTTCCACTAATGCCGTCACCGGGGATTTCGCTCTACTCCGAAACTCATATCTCTACTATGTAGAAAACCCTGCACTCTTGGCAGCGGCAGAATATATATATATATATATATAGTTCAAACCCTCCATGAACCGATGACCAATACTCGAGGCTAGATTGGGTCCCTCGAAACGGCCGCCAACGCAAGCGGCTATGACCTAGTCAGGGTTGGCAGCCCAAGCAGCCAACGACGCGTCGAAGGTCTGCGCGACGTCAGAACGGCTCAAGCGGTCCCAGCGGCTCAAATACTGTCTCGCAGACATCGAAATATAACCACGCTGCTAGTCTTCGTCAGTGTGACTCGATTTCTGAACATCTTCCTCTGAAATCGTCGGGGCCGCAACCGATAACAGTAGCAGCAGTAGTACTGTAGTAGCAGAAAGACAGCCGCGTGTCAAATTGCGACGGAGTTGAAGCATTGGGCGAGGTCTGGAATCGAACGCTAGTGAAAAGCGTCTCGACATCGCGAGCACATAAAACGAACATTTTAACCCGCATCCTCACGATCCGGTGTTCTTGAATTGAGCAACAGCAAGTTGTTGATTAACATTTATTGAACTGTGCCTGTGAACAGTACCAGCTCATATCGTACAATGGAGGATGGTGCTCAGCTGGTTGTGCTTGAAAGGGAAGAAGTGGATATACCATGGGGCTTTAATGTAGTGCCGTGCCCCGATGGTGTTGCTCGTATTACGCAGGTAGGTAAAAAGCAAATAAACTAAAACAGTGACTAACATATTTGCAACACTATTCACGACAGCTTGAGTTCCCGGATAGTTCCAGTTTAGAGAAAAAGCCAATTTTTCTTGGTGGTTCGAACGGCAGTAAGCCGCGAAAAAATGGCGGCCAGTGAAAAATGGGTTCGGGTGCCATATCCTTTACAGACAAATTTGTAAGGCGAATACGCGTGTTGGTATATGAACGTTTTCCTCTGTGCTCTTCTGCGACTGCGTCTAGACTACCGCTAAATGTAACCTATTGTTTGGCTTATGCAGTAGTCTGGTATTAATTTTTCTGAGCTGAATCCTCAAGCGATCTGAGGCAAGATGGTCATTCAGAGAGCACGTTGTCTTGACAACACTTATATAGGTTTGTAGAATGATACTTATCGAGTCCAACCAACTAAGGGACAGGGGCCAACACAGATCTGGTTCAACGGATGTTAGCTGAATCTCAACCCGTGACGTTCTTCTTGATGGGTTATCACGTTTTGCTGCTTGTTCTCCAAGTATGTACCAAGTGACCAGGGTAAGAAGTGCTTTGATGACTAAGACAGTTCCTTCCATGGCTGTTTGTGAATTGTTTCTGTGACGTTTGCTCGACATTACCTCAGCGGTGTCAACACCGTAAGCAAACATTACTATCAATACATAAACGGGCGTTTCGCCTAGAACTTTAACCACTCCTTCTAAAAGCCTTACTTGTCGTCTAGATTCATTTCTAATGATTTATCATGCCTATATGTCGGATGTAGTATTACAGACTTCAGTAGGAATTCACTGAAGATTAGACTTTATATATATGCGTGTGTGTGAAATCTCATACCACACTTTTGCCCGGTTTGACAAATCCATTTTAGACTCGACCGCATAACTAAGCTGACTGGGCTGCATCTCTTTCAGCTAAAGAAAACGTGGCCCGTTAATAGGCCTGAACAGCTATTGCTGTTTTTTTATAAATCAATCTATGACAAAGGCTACTCTTAAACACCCTTGTGCCAGAGCAGAGATGCTTATCTAGAATTTCTAGTTGAATCACCAAGTTCTCTCAACCAAAACGAGTAAGCTTTTCTACCTTATGTAGTACTACGATGGATCTTACTCGCTGCCACAAATAAAATGTGACCAACAAAAAGTTAGGCAAAATCAGCTACCTGCTTTCTTTACCGTATGGCTGTGTCATTTGAAGCACCTGCATGCCCCTACAGGCGTATCTTAAGGTCTGTTTGGCTCGCAGGGCAAAAACAAAGCATGAGGAAGCATTCGTTTCAGCTTCATACTTTCAGTATTAGGGCAGCTTAGCAGGAAGAACGCAAAAGTGACTCAGCGAAACGACGCAGCATGACGCCTGATGCCGCATCGTCTTCTCTTCTCAGTTTGACTCTACAAACAAGATCGATTGCTTGTCTCGTCGCAGTCACATGCGAGTCATCTTCTACCAAATGGTCCGCACTGAAGTATTAGAAAAAGTCCAACGGTATACCGTTGGTTCATTAATGTAAACCTTGATTAAACGGAAGGTATGACCAGGTAGTCGTTTAAATCCCACAACAGTCGTGCTTCATCAAATGCTATTGGACTCGGATGTGTCACTATTAGTAGTGAATCTCTCCGTTATATAGCTATAACGAATTAGTCTATCCCGATGCGTTCTTTCAATATGGTGGCAGATTTTTCAGCCGCGCATCGCTACAAACGATGCTTGGAAAAGCTCAATTCGTTATGATCAGCGAGTATGATCATTTTTAGTGCGTGTAACTTCATGAAGTTCACAGCTGTTCCGCGTTATTTGTCGAACAGGTTTTTAGAGCTGTATTTTTGACTCAGCTTAAATGACACAGCATTATAAAAGCTAGAAAATCTCACAGCTCATAGGCTGTGGTTTAAGCGGTCTAATCATTGAATATTTATGTTGTTTTTACATGGAAAGAGTTCTTAATTTTCAAACAAACCACGTACTAAGAAAAACAACCCAAATAATAATAGTACTCATAAATAAAGTTGTGTAAAACTACACTATTAAATTCTAATGAACGTACGAAAATACAGTAACTTAAATCGTAGCTGACTGTATAGCGGGTCGTTTGGTATCGAAGTTTTTCTACCCTTTCGAAACTACGCTTTAAATGCGCGTCCCAATTAGCATTTCTATCATACGACAACTACTAACTAGAGAAGAAATTCCAAGCTTTTGCAATTCGCTTCGTTGTTCCAGAGCTAACGTCTATCGCCCATATAATCAATGAATAGATTAAAAGGCAGGAAAAGGATCACCCTATCAGATAAAACCTTTAAGTCTTACAAGGCCCATCGAAATAGCTATTACCACAAGGAATCCTAACGAACCTGTGTAGGGTTTTGAAACAAAAGGGTGCTTGCTTCTAGCCGCTTCGGTCTTTCTTTATTTCATGGCCTGGTAGCCTCTATTGCGCCGCAGGGCGAGTTTTCGCCTATACTTTGTTCGATAGTGAATAGGCGACAGCAGCAAAGGTACCTACTGTCTGTTTGTGATGATGATTCACCGCAAAAGCAGCCAAAACTAGAACAGCGGACTCAATTACTTCCTTCAGACTGGCCTCTCTTTTTAGAAGACCCACCTTCGCAAATATTCTCATTCTTAGTCAAGGAAAATGAGGGGGCACAACTGGAGTGAAATTATGCTTGTAGATTTGAATAGAGCCTGATTCCGATACGCACTTAACGCCATTTATTTACGACGGATTTAGACAAAGCGTTTTATGGCGACGACAATGATCACTGGTATCGCTGAGGCTATTGTCGAGCGTTGAACAATGATTTTGAAAGTTCATCTTTTGTAGACGATAAGAAATGCGAAGTTTCTTTACTTATGATGTTACTATAGCTTCAAGAAGAACAGCAAGAAACCACTAACGATGATAGGCAGATAGGGTGGGCACCACAGAGGTGTAAATAAGAAACAGTAAACAGCTTAGCCAAGATGTAATGACAACTGCAACCGGCAAAAAACGAATCGCAACGATTGTGTCAAATTGGTCCTTAACTTTATCTTTTGTTTTCTGTTATTTAGGACCAAACAAATCCTCTAACTCGGAAATTCTCAAATGCCGATTTGCTTAGGAGCTAGTTTAACGACTTAATTTACTGCACTGAACTAGTCAGTATAACTAGATACAATTAGAGACAATAAACGAAAAGGAAAAAACAAGTTAAGCTTCCTGTTTATTTGCTTTGATTAATCCTTATGTTACACAGTACATTTCTACAAGCTCACCTGACACCTAGCTTATCTTGATTTCCATATCGAGAAATGCAAGCAACTTATTTATCTATATCTCAAGAAGTTTTTGAATATAATTAATTATAGTGACAGATACACGGCAGCTGTTAGCCATATATTCTTGCTCTAATCAACCCGCACGGGTCGGCCTTTGCGTAGACATGTTGAGACTGGCCATCCTGAGGCGGCTTGTTGAATCACATGTACCAAGGCGTTGGACAACCTTTGCATATTTATATATATATATATAGATATATATATACAGTGTTCTTCTTATAAATGATTTCAATTTTATGTTCAAATCCAGCAATATTTCTCAAAGCACCTGAGAAATGTCATAGTCTATCCACCTTGATCATTAGTCACTACCCTTTACACTGTCGTTGTTATACGAGCAAGTATCGTAGAGTATAAGTCACTAGGCAAAATACTTCAGACCTAGTATTCGATATTTTCAACCTGAGTGCCTAGTAAAGTAAATTAGCCACAGTCTTAAACCCCACGATCAGGGCCCATCCTAATTTACTCCTTGCTCCGGCCGGACTTTCTCACATCTGTTTGATTTTCTAATCTCTGGAAGATGGAAAAGCGAAAACTTCGCTTCGATCTGTGCCAGTTGTTAGGCATTCAACACAGTTTGAGAAAGAACTATTTCGAAAAAGAACCTGTTTTCCATGTTCGCTTACGGAGGGACATCGCACTATCTCGAATTCGGTCCAAGCCTTGCTCCTAATTCAATTCATCACACATATATCGTTGTCGGAAACTTGTTAATAGTCTCAAGTGAATACTTTATCATTTGTACGGGCTTTCTACAAACGGAACAATGCTTACAGATGTGTACCGCAAGATTTGAATTTCTAAAGTAATGGTAGATCAAGCATCTTGATAGCAATATGCGTGCTTTTTAGGTCAGGGATTCCCTCAACAAGCTACCCATGGGCACCTATGACTTTCTATATGCTCTGCTTTGCTTAAGGTAAAATCGGGCGGTCTCGCGGATAATTTTGGTCTCTGTGATGGGGATCAAGTACTGCAAGTGGGCAGAATGAAGGTCGACCCGCGCGATGGACTGAACCTCGGCAATGTTGAAATGCTACTTCGAATGCCAACGCCACAATTAGAGATCGTCGTTTTCAGGTTAGTTGATTGCTTACTGAACTTGAATAAAATTATACTGAGTTTACAAATAGTTTCTGCTGTTTCTTTTTTAATTTTTTTTTTGTCGTCAGGTGATCAAGGACTATATATTGTTAATAATACTTTTTGCTCTACAAATCGAAATATTTCATTGAAAGCTCAAGCTTTAAAGTGTATATATTTTTGCATTGGAATATAGTACACGATTGATTGAAAATGAAAGGTTTAAAAGAAGAAGCGATAAAAAAAATTAACCAATTCAATAGTCCAGCTTAATGAGCGCCTCGAGAAATCCTTGGAAACGCAAGCTAATGCGCTACGTAATGCTCTGAGTGTTTTCTTTCTAGGCATTCGGTTTTTTAAGATGTCGGTATTATAATCCTATGTGAAACCTGTACCAACGCACCATTTAATGTAGCGAGTTTCTGTACAGTATATGCAGGGAAAGAGAGGCTTAGTGGTAACGTCCCGATATACTTTCATTAGTGCCTAGGCGATGTAAAAGTAGCTATAGCGGAAGATAACCTTGTTGTTCTAGAAAGTTAAAGACTTAACACAATGGGAGGATATTTGCGATCAAACCCTGCTGAACGATCCATTGCACTAGTAGAGAAACGGATGCGATGTCTCAATTCTTTGTTCAGCGGATCGCAGCATGCGGCTTCAATTCAAAATTGGATAAGCCAAGAGACTCTCAAATCAGGCTACTGATTGACACCTTAGGGAACCTTGAGTGCTGGATTATAACGGACGAAGACGAACCCACGTTCACTAGCTCGATGTAGTACTCCACTATTGACATGTTCGAGATCAAGCTGCCTGTCTCCCAAGTCGAGCACTTCAGACCAAGGAACGCCTTACACGGTCTCGTTTAGAGGTTATCTATTCCTGATTATGCACCTCTGCCAAGAATCCATAGAGTAGTCCAAAAGCAGGTAGCTTTGGCAAAATCGCTAAACACAGAAAGGGCTTGAGAGAATCTCAGTGAATATTGTCCTGTTCCAGACATACTCTAAGATACGAAGCTGATGAGGTCAAACCTTGTTGCAGCAGCCCACGGTTCAACAATATATATAGGGGAGCGCTTTTCAAGCCTAGATGGGTGCTCATCGATCGGCTGCAGTATACCCAGAAATGCGCCCTTTTTTCATTACGAAGGGTAGGTCTACCTTGAAATGAACGAAGAAAGCGCTTTAATATGTGTGAAACTGTTCTTGCTCAAGGCCGAGTAACATCCCTTCTTGATTTTTTCTTGCTCCATAAGATCAAATGTTTCCAATGTTCATTTTCAGCAGATGTACGCTTCCAAGAACACCGCGTCTAAAGGGCTCTTGTGGTGGCATGGAGACAAGCCAGATGTGGGCTGCTATAGCCGCCGGGGTCACCGTCAATGAAGTGACACTAGCGCTCTAGCAGCTTCAGCACAAAAGAAGGCCCATACAGATCAAATTAGAGACGAGCATATCAAGGAGACAGTAGTGCTAGCCCTATACCGGACTGCCTTCTAGAACGCCTGTCTATAATATGAGAGATGACCGGATGGTTCATAGAAGATATTCCTTATCGTTATTCCGTAGGGCAAAGGCGATCTTCGAGAACTTAGCTCGTGGAGGGAAATCGCAAAAAGAGCTGCTGCTATAAACTACTCTCGGCCAAACTGCCCACGGGTCTCTCTACTTCCCTAAAGCTGATTAAAAACAATAACCTCACCTCTCTTAGTTCTTCGGAACGATTTCCCAAGTTGCATAATCAGAAAGCGGAAGTTTGTTAGAGCAGGTACTGTGCGCTGACAATCTCGCTATCTACAAAACAAAACGTTTTGAGTCTCAGTAGAAATTGGCTCGCCTTCAGTGGATGCCGGCTTTGACATTAATTTGGACAGGGCCTAAACCATGAATTCCCGAAAGGCGGGGCCACCAGCAGTAAATGATACTTTCTAAATTCACTGCTCGCCTCTAGAATACATGGCAAAATCTGAACCTTGCTTTATCCCACGCCGGCACTTTCTACACCGAGCATGCGACGGAATGCGTCAGAAAAACATTAGTATCGAGCGTTGCCACAGAAACACCGTCGTTCCTCTTTCTGACTATAGCAATGCGTCTCTTCAAAATCAAGTTCATACCTACAGTCTCATATAGCGTCAAACTCATGAACAAATCTCAGTTTTGTAGGCTGGACCAGGTGAAGTCTGCTTTCTTCAAAGGAGCACTAGGACTGCATAGATGCTGCTGTACGTGCTATATGTAAGCGCTAAGGGATACACCGCTATTTGTTAAAGATATACTACCCCAGTTTACCTTGCAGAAAACTCCCGCCTATTTGAAACTCACTGGACAACGGGAGTAACCGATGGTTTAGGTCTACCCGAGATTCCTTGCCACTCATGCTATGGTGGACGGAACGTGGAAGAAGTCACGCAGAAAGAACTAAAATGTGGTAGTCCGTTACGCAGTGTATGGCTTCTGCTATGTTATGTGTCTTAATAGATCCTATCATGAAGAAAGTTGGAAAAATTGCCAAAGGAAGCTTATTCATATGTCCGATACGAGGCAGTTACACGTAGGCTCATATCCAAGGACGCCTTGTTTGAACAACATGGGACAGAGAAAAGCAGCGCAACCTCTGCGCTCTGTGCTATGTATCTTATCTACTATTATCTTCAATATTCTTATTCTAATTTAAAAAAAATGCTTTTATATTGTTTATATACAAAACATTTGACAAAGGTGAAAATAGGTAAACATATTAAATAAAAACAACGGAAGTTTACATCTCGGTTCAATAGAAATAAGAATGATTGATTAATAGTTAGTTCTACGTTTGCTATTTGTAAGATGAATGATTTATAAACTGGTTCAAAAAATGAAATAAAGAAAAGGATTCTTACCGACGACTCGGTATGTCATTGTCACAAATGCACTTTACCAGTTTAGCCGTGGCATGTGTATACCAAGTGAAAAAAAAAAAAAAAAAACATTTTAACGAGGTGCTTTCTATTTTTCGACAAAATTCATTTTAGCTGATACGACTACCCTTCACATGAAGGTCAACTCGATTGAAGTCAACTAGCATGTCGCAGCTCTACGCTGTGAGTCCAACGGAAAACATAGTTTTGAATCAATATATAGAGTCTGATTCTTCGCAGAATTTGAATTTTGCGTAGAAAAAACTCTTGGCATAGAAGAATTTCACCGGCGTATCAATATCTGCTCAGGATAGTAGGATTCTAGTCTAAACTTGAATGCATCACGCCTAAAATGAAACGGTTTAAAAATCAAAAATCTTAAAAGATAACTTGTGTGCTTTAATAATGTTCTAAGTCGTTTTTCCCCCATGAATGTTTTTCCAGTGTATACATTACACGCAATGTAGTCTCTGACGCGTTTGAGTACCGTCTGATCTAACAAAAAAAAATTAATCATGTAAAAGAAACTTATTCTAAATTTCATCCTGGCTAACTCGAATTAAAAAACGTTTTTCACCAAATATTCACTAATTTTACAAAAAAAAAAAAGAAAAAAAGTCTAAAGAAAACAAATAGTAGTCTATCCTGTCACAAATCTCAGAAGTGAGATCTGTGCTTTGATATGATAATTCAAAGTAACAAACTTACGTCTAGAAACATCTACACCTGAATTCCAGTATGGATATTTTATTTAATTGTGTTCTGAAATGCTCGTTAGGATAACCACTGCTAAAAAAGCGTTCAGCATCAAAATGTTCTGTCAGATTAATTGACCGTAGAACTATATAATTTGCGCAAATAAAGAAGGCTAAGTAAAAAGAAAAATAAAACAGGTCATCGTGTCGCCAACGATCCTGGTGGTTTGTTGTGCTCAACACAAATAACAACAATTGTCTATTACAACAACGCGCGTGGACCTCAGTTGTCCTTTACACTTTCATGCGTCCAATACCCAGTAATCGTCGGTGGCAGCTGATAGCTTAAATAGGAAGCGCCGTTCCTTTTCTGAGGCTGTTTCTAGAATTAGAAGATGGGTTACCACTGCGAAACCTATACATTTGGTCGCTGGAGACTATCGTTAGTACTCCTTTTGGCACTGAGCGCTGGTTTTGCTTCCTAGCGCGATTTGCCTTTGCCACCATTGCTAGCGATGGCCAGCATAATACGTCTCATCTGTTCCGAGACTGAGTTTCTTAACGCCAAATAAACCTCCAGTTACAACTTTATATTTGATTGCGAATGACAAAGTGCCGATCAACTGATGATGTTACAAAACCCTAACTTCGGATTTATCTAGCGCATGCAAAAAAAGGCCAACGCTTTCTCACATGCATTACCGAAAAGATTTACGAGACTTTTTAGTCTTTATGACTGAATGATTGAACCATCTAATACTCATCAGTGTTGAACTACAACGCATGCACTAGTGCTTCCGTCAGCACCCCGATGACGCACATGGATAGACAACTTTACATATTACTGTCTAAAGAAAAGTGTCATCAAACCACATAGTTTACAATTATTTTCACCTATTTTAATGCGACAGTGATTAGCTAAGTAACCAATATAAGAGTACTACGGTTAACCAGAGACATTTCTTCGGTTGACTTCTAGTCGATCTAGGTTAAACATAACCGTGTTTGTCGAATTATAGGGAAAAAGAAAAGGCGAACTGGCACCTTGCTCGCCCTGGTCGCTTCAAGCGTCGCTTGAAGACGTTGCATCAAACCTTAGGGCTATCCCAGAGCTAGGACGGCGGCGGTAGTGTCGGCGGAGGCCAGGCCATGTCTGCTAGACCATCGAGCCTGCGGCTGGAACGGCTCGTCTTTTGCCTACGGGAGGTAAAGGCAAACTGGTTGCTTACCAGGGCGGCCACTGCTCAAGGGAGGCAAGCAGAAGAGCGCCATCAGACAAGAGCTCGTTCGTAACCCGATGCTCTATCGTGTTTAGTATGCCTTCCCTTCGGCGGCAAATGTTGTGTGTGTATCCATATGGTCGTGTGTTACCTTTGAGAGCTACACAAAGTTCTTAACCGCTTGATGCATGGTCTCTCCCAGGCACTTGCTTCTTTGCGGCCGGTAGTATCTCAGTGTGGTCCAGTGCACCGTCGATTCGAAACGTTTCGCATCCTTTCGCTGCAGCGGTAGCCCACGACCGCCATCGGCTGAGGAAGTGACTAGAGGCAACTAGCACCGACTAGGCACAGTGCCATATCCAACGAAAAAGTGTACTAAAATTAAGTAAATTAAGCACAACTTAAGAACACCTAATAATTTATAGATTCTTCTCACTGTCGACTAAACCCGAGAAGTCATTCCTGTAATATTTTGTTTTTTAGCTTGTATTGTACTTAGACCTTACCGGTTTACTCGACAACTTTCTATTGGCACTGCTAGCACTTACAGCGATGCTTTAACGGTAATTTTTTTTGTTTTCATTTCTCTCTTTTTCTCTTTTTTACTTTCGTAGTATCCTTTCTGCTATGCAATCCACTCTCATTTCGTTGGCCTCTAATCGTTTCTGTCTGAACCCTTTTGCCCTCACGTGTGCAGAGAGCCTAGCTCGGCTATGAAAGGCAACGCCGACTCGAAACAACAGTATAAGCGAAATAGAGATAAACTGCTCATATAGCTTGCTGCCTTTTTTGTTTTCGTAATGTGTTCATATCATAGAAGGTGGCGATGTTGTTTCTATGGCAGTGAGCCTCTTGCTATTGCTATTTGGTTCAGGGAAGTCAAGCAGTAGCAGGTGCAGCTAGATGACTGTGAATGTCTCTCCGTGTCTGCGTGTGAATGAACGCGTAAAACGACTTCTGTTGAAAGAGTCTGCAGAACTTTTTTCTTTGGCTCGGCGTACACGATGTGCTGTGTTCTATTATGTGAAAATTAAAAGAAGTCGGAACTGAATTGAAGGATCCGCATGCACGATATAGAGAAAAACTCGTGACAAAGTCAGCGTTTTCGGATACACATCTTTTCCAGCACGGAAGTTGCAATAGGCATCAGAGTATGTGGAGAGCAAATGTTCATACTTTTTAGCAGCAAGCAATCGTCAACGCTGTTAACAGCGGAGGTAGCAATGAACTGACACTTTCACATTTGGAAGCTCGCGCATTTCTTTCCGATATGACCGGAAAGTAGGCCTGGCCGACCCTCCTTCGATTACTTCTGCCGGTTGATGGGAAAAACGACGCACATAAAATTTAGTGAGAGAGCAACCGCAAACCACAAAAAAATCATTCAAGGACACGACCTAATCGTATTTAGGAAAAAAGCCTTTCTACATAATCACCACTTTAAAATCTCTATGCATACCAATCGAATCTGTGTACACGAATCGTGCTTGGCTCCATAGGATCCCAATTCCGGATTCTAGTGAAAAATATTATGACGTATCTTAGGCTGTTTACAAGCGCACAAAGGAGGATTAAAAGTTTAAATGCTTGAGCATCAGTCACGAAGCTGGTCTTAATATTTGGAAGGGGACTTACTTTGTGTCCACGTACTGAAAATCGTATGACTAGAGACATTTCCTTATGCCCTCAGTAAGGGAAACAGAGATCAGACGATGATGCACATACGACTTGATACAGTCCCGTTGGTCCACAAGATCTTTTTAAATGAGTTTATGCAAGAGAAAAGCAATCGTGAAGGCTTATTTATAATGTTAAGAATAGAAAAAAAAGCCCATGTACGATACATACGCTCTATTCGTTGTTAGGCATGGTTTCAATGAGAAAACGTTTAATTTCCATTTAGATAGATCTTCTGATCCTCCAAGAGTTGACTAAATGTTTTTTTTTCTAAATAGTTATTTGCTGCAACAATGTTATTACTAGCAATTAGCAATACGGCTCTCAGATCAGGGCGTACCAAACCGATTTGATTCACAAATGGCCAGCTCAAGCAGTTGTTCGTGGATTTTTCAGTTTTACCTTCTTTAATTACTGTATTTATCTGACAGAGAATGTCAAATATGGACGATACGCCAAGCTCGGAAAATTCTACATATGCGTGGTCAACGAAATCGAAGGAGTGATATTTCAACGTGTTAAGTTGATACGTGCACCAAATAATCAACGTGACAACTAGCTCCCGTCTGTTCGTGTACTGCCTTCCATATATTATTAATTGATTCTCCGGCGCCATAAAGATGCAAACTTTTTCGGCCGGTGTCGAAATTCAGCGATACAAAAGATTACAAAACAAGCCACCCTTTGATTAAAAACAGTTAGGAGAACTATTTGAGCGGTTCTTTATAAGGTGTCACACTGACAAGGACTATCGCTAATAAAAAAACTGACTTACAATCATTCATGCTCGTCGTGAGCACCATTGTCAAGCAACGGTCCGGGAGCAGCTCGAAAGGGATATTTGATTCGATATTAGGGTTTCTGGAAACCTTCACACCCAGCCATAAAACCTCCGCGATCTCCGAAGTAACAACGGCAAATTGATCGTAATGCAGCTTACAGTCTCTGCTTCGAAGTATAATTTCGTAGCTTTGTAGTGTAAATTTTTTAAGTTTTGTCGTGTACAACTGGTAATTCGAGCTAAATCATGGGGGCAAAATATAATGGTATTACGTTGAAGATTTTTTGTTCATTATAATGTAAAATTATTATTACATAAAAATTATGTGGTAAATATAATACGTCAGGACCTTTATAACAGCAAAAAGGCCATAACGGACAGAGAACATTAATTAACATGATTTTATTTACTTACACTCAAAATCAAAAAAATAATAACCATTAAAATTTTAACCATTAACACTAAACGAACCAATCACGATTCTCATATCGAAGTTTAACCAACACTTGTTCCCTTAAGGACAATGTCATGACATCCTTCTCAGGGGGTGTATATTATTACAGAAAAAGCAAAAGCTAAATAATGCTATCACAAGTAGTGTACTTTAGAAAGGTAGCCTTGGCTAGAAATTGCTATAATCAGGCAATAGAAACGTGTTAAGGAAGTATAACTTTGTCGATAAGGCATATTTGGTACAAAGGGACTCTTGTAGGCTAGCCTTCTTCTTAACGACAATATTATGCCCATTAAGTATCGCGAGAGCTGTACCGGTAAGATGCTGGGTCTAACTTATGGGTCTGATTTATATCAAATAAAGATTTCTTGTTTAAGTCATTTAATGACTTCCTGGAAATTGAGTTTATAACATAAATGATTCTCATGTTTATATTATACAGAGCGGTATTCTCTCTTGGAAGCAGATGATGTCTGAAACAACGCTTAACGGAAGTACAGGACATAAAACTTTGCATACACATTTAGGAGATACTTCCACGCCACCCGTTCGTGCACGCATCTTACTTTTTTTACTTTGGCTTTCCTTGCAAATGGGCTTCTCGTTCACCTCAGCCCTATAAAGTAAAAAACAAAACAGAAAATAAAACATTTCCGCTCTACTTTAGGGGTTTAGTAGAATTAGCCTAAAGAACCCAATAGAGAAAGGCTTTATCGTCATACTTGTTATGATATTACCTACACCGTGCTTCAGATAAAGGGTAGTTAAAGGTAAAATATTTTCGATTAAAACAAGATTAGCCTTATGAAATGTACCTATCTAATGTGACTGTTCTCCTTGCAATAAAATAGTACGGATAATCCCTACAGTCGCATTCAGGCCCTCTCAGCTTACTTCATACGACAAAGCCTTATAAGCCCTAGTCTTTCCATTGTAATGCCGATCCAGCTCTGTCGGCTAACATATCAATATAATAAAGGAGGGTTGTAATTTACCGTAAACTGTCTAAAAACGTGCAATGATTTTGGTTTACGTTGATACAATTTCGGGAACGGCTCAATACAACCGAGTTTGCTAACCTAGACAGGGTGGTAATGAAATGTTTGCTTGTTTCCACTTAAAAAGAGAGAAAGTAAATAAAGTCCTAGACATGTAAAGTGGCAAATTTATTCAAGTGCTACTTCGATGTGATTTATTAGTAACAATATGTGTCCCCTTTGACAAAACGTTGCTAGTATCATAATCAATATATAATTTTTTTAGTTTCTATGACGTTTCATTTGCTACACCAACAATAGGGTTAATAAACAGCATCAGGTCTATGAAGTATTATTAAGCCAAGTGTTATTTATTGCAGGGTAGTCTGTATAAACAGAAATTGCCTAGATTTGAAAACATATTTCGTTTTGTGCTGAGAGTCAGGTACCTGAAGGAACGCTTAACCGAAGCAGTACCAAAGAAGCATTTCAAACATCTAATATGACTATTAGATACTGTGATGAAAACAGTGCTCGGTCAAATTATTGCAGGTTTAAATGTATGTTACCTAACTTTCTTTATTGATTTTCAAATAGCGATTGCTGTTTCCTTGATGGTTCTGCTTTGTTTTCATCATAACCCTCCATCTTCAGAATCAGCACATAGAGGCACAACTGATAAAACTACTACAAAGCTGATTGATGGCTTTAGGGTACTGACGGTAGGTTAACTGCCATTCGTTTGACCCTTTGGTCCTTAGCTCGAGCAGTTCATTCCATCTAGAAATAATACGGGGCTATTTTAGGCACATTTTTTATATATATATATATCGGCTTCACTAACGACCGAAATATTATTTTTTTTTTACAGAGACGACTTCCTTGATCGAAATCTCGGATCTATTGTGCCGAAAAAGAAACTTCAAGAGTGAGTATTATTGCAAAAGTGCGTTGTAATTAAAGAAGTTCGCTTCAGCGCCACCAGTTAGTGGTTTACTCATTTAGAAGTTTAACTATGTTTAAACGATCCATTGTTGGTAGGTGCATTCCATGTTACTTGTATTGCAAGTTATTGACGTTCGGGCGAAAACTTAAAGACTCACATATACCGAAATCTGTTTGCGTCGCTTGCGATAACAGATCCGTAAGCTCAACTTTGCTCGTATAATCTCGCATTAACAACCTTGTATTATAAGCTATGAAGTATTACAAAAATTAGGATAATGGAGCCGGTCGTTCTGTATTTGTATTTTATGTTACGCAGAGTGAACGTTTAATGTTGAGCTTACTTCAAAGCGAGCAAACATCTTGCCGAATATCTATTTTTACGTATTTAGTGATCATCTCAACTTCGTAACCCTGAGTTTTTTTGGTCTATCTACACGGCTTTCGTAAAACGTAATACCACATAGTTCTCTTTCAAACGTAGGCAGACAGCTAAGTCTAAGCTAAGTTTCCTACAAATTAATCATCTGTGAAGCGAAAATCTATTTTTATCGATTTCACAATGATTTGTTGCGTAAAAAGCTACAACAACAGATTTCGACTCAATAAACTCCTAATACCAGTCGAATTATTCATCCCGTGGATTGTCTCGGTGAGACCTCACACCTCACAGCTTCAAATCTCTTCAGACAGGCTCCTTCGTGACCCGCTTCCAGATGTTTCGATACATACATACTATACAAATACATATTTGTTTTATAAACCAAGTATGGCAGTTACCACCCACTAATTCCCGTATATAAATATACGCTTCACGATATGCTGAATCTTTATTTCCATGCGGAATATTATATACCAAATAAGCTCTTCTATCTAAACTTTCCTGTCATGAGTTAAGCTTTTTTCGCTTCATTTTTCCCGATTGCTGTTGTCGGACTTATTCCATCGCTTCATAAGCATCAGCCATCGTCACACCAACGTGCACTAATTTATGTAATAGCCATTTGCCTGCATTCGTATACAAATCCCATCGGTGCCATATTTCACTCAACATCACTCTGGAAATCACCCTGAGCTTTCTCCTCTTCTACCACGCTCTATTTCTTTTTCATTGTCCCTTTTTGTCGGTGGCTACATTCGAGTGAGGACGTTATGATTTACTCACACTTTCAGGCTGCTAACACTGGCCACCAGCATTTTGAAGTCAGAGTCTAACATTTAGCCAAACCAATGCGTTATGTACGCTTACGGGAACTATGGGAGTACAGAATCGGTGCGCAAGAGCGCGATTTACGTTAAAATGCCAACGACAAATGAATTACTAGATTGTTTTGCAGCATTGGCCAACGCGTGCGAGCGCCTGATACAGAAGTAGAAAACGAACCAGCGATTAAACCACCAGAGTTAGCCCTTTCTCTTTATACATATATATGTATATCTTAATTCCATAATCTGATACAAAGGTACCTCCAAGGCCAATTCGAGACGAGTTTTGCAACTGAATTGAAGCAATTAGTAGAACCATAAAGATAATTCTAAATGTATATTTTGATATTTAAAATAAGGAAACATGGCCTTGAAGACAAAGTGTTTTTTCTTGTTTAATTAAAGAGCGACTTCAACCGTTAAGCAAATTGTGCATAATTAGCTCTGCGTGTTTGCGTGTCTAGTGCGTACGTGCTTACCCGTAAAACAGTGTCGTAAAATATTCCGAAATAGCATATTGAAAAGAAGATAAGAAGAACGCAGAGTTAATGGAAAATAACATAGTAAGCAAAAGGATCCTTCTGTATTCACCAGATCATGCAGAAGTATTTTTTTTTCGCGGAAAAGCTTGCCAGTGTGAACATTTTTATGAAATACGCAGCTCCTTTAGAAATGATAATAGACACAAAGTAAGAATGGATTTACTTGTTTTCATACGTAGTGAATTCGGGAGGGTAGTAATTTCAGAATCAAAAACTTCATTCGTCGTTTGTGAAAGGCGTTCTTGTTTATCCTTCACAAGAGATTTTCCTGCTATGTTCGGATGCTGGTTCACAAACCAACGTCTAAAATTAGCAGTATTATTGACTATAAAGAATGAAAAACAGATAAACAACTTACGTCTGTAGTATCGAGACTCTTTTTAATAGTAAACGTAAAATATTGCCTTTGGTGGTTAGTTATGTTTTTGTTTCACTGGCATTCAGGGAGTTGTTTTGTTGACTAGGTGCTCCATCACGTTATCTCTATAGAGTTTGCTGTATACGCCATATTTTGCTCCGAAGTGTGCGTTGGATAGCACGATAAGTACAAATGTACTTAAAAGTCGATGTAATTGTTACATCTTAGCATTAACATTTTCATCTAAATAACAGATGTTATAGTCAAGTACCCTTTGAGCCTTTAGTACCTTCTGAAACCGCATTCCCGTTTAAATGTATTGTGTGATGTATCTTCTATCGTCTGGCGCACATATGCCCCTACAATTTCACATAGATTAGAGCATATACTGTTAGAAAAACGTCAAACAGTAAAAATATTTTCTTGAAATGAAAATGAGCCCCATTTGTTTTTCTAGACGGAATTTTCCCTAAACGCACCTCGTAACTCGGCATCTTGAGCTGACGCTTGTTGCGATTGGGTAACGCTTAGACGTAGTTTCCGACTTCGGAAGCACATAAATCGTTCACTTTTTCTTCTAGCATACAAAGACAATTAGTTCATTTGGCAGACCATAAAAAATAAATAGCCGGCTCTCTTCTTAGCCTAATAAAAAACGTCCAGGGAATGCTGCTGCTAGAACAGACGAGATCAACTAAGAACCTTCCGCAAAAAAGTCGAACGGGTATTGGCTAGAACAAGAAGCTCTGAAGTCTTTGGTCTCCTTCCTTGGAGAGCATGAATGAATCGAATATAGTGCTATATTATACGGCAGTGGGTTCTCCATCGAGATCAGTATCCGAAAGAAGAATGATTGTGTACATAAATGTGTGATACCTGGATAATTTAATTTCTAAGAAATACAACAGTAGTTATATCTTAATTATCGAACTATTCTCGTTGCGATATGCTACTTCTAATTTTTGAATGATTTAATTAAACTAAATCTTTAGTAAACGCTGCAATATATCAGGCTCGATAATAACGCTAGAAACCACTTAGATAGGGACAACAAAGGAAAACCCCTGTTAATTGATTGCAGTACCTTTTTCCAACTGAACTAACTTCTTCTACTCTAATTATGGCTGTTCGATGGCCCCTTTTCCTATTGCATAAAATTTCATTTGGCTTTGATGTTGAGTAGTCGATTAAAACAAAGAGGCTGACCATTCTACTCAGGGATAAGCCAAAAGACTAAAGTTAGTTTTTTCAAATGTCTAATGTGATACAATATCTTCCTTACGCCTAGTACAATTGTTAACTGTACCAATGTTATATTTCTTTGACAGATTTCGTCCGCTACCCCGGCAAGAAAGCGAGACCGACTCAGCCGACGACGAGAAAGGTACGTGTTAGAAAATGCTTTGTTGTCCGCAAAATTAATTTCAACTTCTTATAATCTATATTCCCTGAATATTCAGTGATGCAAACCCCTCGATATACTTCGCTAAGAATTTAGTTTGAGTGTGAATATAGCGATAAAAGTAAAAAACTTTGGATACACCCCAGTAGTTTCGGCAGGAACCTATTAAGGGCATTCCACTTCTGTAGACATCAAATCTGCACACGTTTACGCGCTTCGGTGTCCAGCCGAAGTCTCAAGTTAAGGAAGGTTATTACGAAGTCAAACGTCCTTATGGCGCGTAATTCATTCGCGTTCTTTTAAAAATAAAAAAATTTATTTCAAATCAAAGTTTCATTCCGAAACTCAAGATCTGTGTAATCAAAGACCCGAGCACAACTTTGCTAAATGACTTTCTGCCATAGAAATGATGGTCGAAACTTCGTAGATTTAAAAGACTTCAATAATTGGGCGTAATCATGACGGTATCTTTTGCTTCCTTGAGTTGGTAGTTTCCTTTCGAAACATATGTATGCGGAGCGTTAGCACAACTAAGCATTGTAGTAACGGGTTCGACATAACAGTTTGTATTCTTATAAATAATATCACGTGTTCCATTGCGTGACGCTCCTGTGCAACATTGAACTTTATTTAAGTAGTCTAGGGTAATATACAGATCAGTATTAGAAACAAGTAAATATAATAATCAGTCAGATTATAATATTCTCTCAATAGGTACTCCCTTTCCACGGGCATACAACCCATCCTGAACCGCAATAGTAACAAACAACCAGTGGAAATAACCTTAGGTAGGGCAGCTTAAACTGCCCTATCTATAAACCAAGCCCAGTTATTTGATTTAAGGTCTACAATGCACACATATTGTCGCCAGGTCAGACGATAGCTATAAATTTGCAGACGTTACTTTATCTTCTATCGCACAGAACAACGCATACGTCAATATGAATTTATTAATTATAATTTTCGATGTTTTCGGTTCACTAATCTCACGCTATCTCAGAAATCGAAGATCACTAAGTAAAAAGTCGGACCGCACATTATACGAAACGAGAGTTTATGAGGAATAAGTAATATATTCTACAAAAGAAAACCGTTAGTTCGTCCACTAAGTTCTTGCGCTTTTACGAGTCGCTTGTCCAACGCTTTGTGCAAGGCAACTCCGATCTCTTGAGCCAGTTGAAGTGCTTCAATCAGGTTATGCGTATGAAGGCTTCCGACGCCATTCTTCATAGTTGTAGCAATACGGCCATTCGGGGCCACCGCACAGCAGAGATGGACCGTGGTGCATTCGGCTTCCTCCTGACTGACGTCAACCTGGAAATTGATAAAAAATATTTTAGACACGATTACTCATGGGCCGTAAAGTTCGCTCGGAACTTTCCTTCACCTAGAAGCAGCCGAATGAGAAATTTTAACACAGCAAACATTTAGTTAGAAAAGAATAAGGCGCGTTTGCAAGGATTACCGTCTTCCTCACGGTTCGGCTCATATTAAATTCTTTATCGAACTCTTCCCATTTGAGGTACGAAGCTCACTTGCATCGGAGCTATGGTAAAAAGCAATTAGGGACAACTATTAATTTGGGTTACTAGCACAAATTAATTAGGGTTACTTACTACAAATTGTGAACCAATTTTGGAAAGGGTGACGAAACAAGGAACCAAGCCCATTTCTAAAGGATCAACAGCATGTGGATCGTCAGAAACTTCGATCTCTGGCCGTCCATCCTCGCCTATGCTGACGCTTAATCGTGGAATGCGAAGATCTCTTAGAGCTGCCTTGACAGCTACGGATACCGCGTCGTATAGACTGCCACCCAGTTCTAAAATGAGCACATCGACGTAAAGTGTCCATACTTGCTGGCCAGAAACAATGCACAAAGAACTCAGATCCAGGAATCTTTAAGCAGAAAATGAATAAATGCGCACATAAACCGCGTATGCTTGTTATTCTACGAAAAAATAGGTTATCCATTGGACTGTGGTTTTTCCCCTGATACTAGGGGAGGGCGGCTTATATATGGTCTACATGCGAGACGCGTATAAACTGTTCACGCGGATATTGCCCACCTTTTCGAGACATAGGCTTCACTGAGAGCGCCTGCTATCTGTTGTCCAAGATCATCACCTCCGCTTCCTTCGAATTCGGGATCAGCGTTTGCGGTGAAATCAACAAAAAACTCGATTCGGCCACTGTCAGGCGCTGAAGGTTCTGGAGCACCAATCTCTGCCTTAATTCAGATAAAGCCAGCTCACTAAATGATTAGCGCCCATGGTCTTTGAAGCTATGCCCACTCTGTCCTACTTCTTAAAATCGCGAATAAGGTATCATGATCTACTTGTTATTGCTTATAGTTCGCGGGAAAATCAGATTTCATTTCGATGAGCGAATTAGCACTTTACCCGTATGGGTTAACTTTTTTTAGAGAAGATTGCCAACTGCATTCTATTGCCATATTTTATCTATCATGTATCATTAAGGTCGTGTTGTCCGCTGCCGACGGCTCTGACTGATCGCTGACTCTAACAACTACACCGCTATGCCTTCCCCAGACTACAAAAAAAAAAACTGGCAATGTACCTATACTCACACGTGACCTTGAATAGTTTACCTTGATGCCCACGAGAACGTCGGTGTTGGCTATACGAACATGAGACGAACCGCTGCAATTCGGCGCAGCACCTAATTCCATCTATATAAAAACCAAGTGGAAGATATAATTAACAAAAACATTATAATAACAAATTATTACAATCTAGATGAAGTTTTATCTGGGCACCTAATCGAAGTAATGGAAGACCTAACCTTCCAATGTGACTATTGAGCCTTTGCACAAAGTGAAATCTCCAAAGAACCTTCATTTAATAGCAATTGTAGCCAAATGTGTTGCAAATCTGAACGTAAAAGATAAGTAAACAGAGCATTTTATGATATCTTTAGGTAAAAAAAAAGTTTGACTTCCGGTCAGTACTGAACAGCTGACTCTTTAGTATTGTAAGTGCAACTGACTTCGATGATAAGAGCATTCTACTGGACATAATAAACATAACTACAAATCATCTTTCACTATGAAAAGAAAATAGCTTTTTGACGCATAGAACACCAATTCAACTTAAATTTGGGCACTTACTTCAATATGTCGATACTCCAGACAGCTTCTCCCATCACACCGAAGGTTGTCTTCTACTCCGTGAATAATGAAAATTCGTTCCGAATCACTTAGTAACGTAGTGGCCATGTTGAGGTAATGTCACTTACTATCATTCGTTGCTGACCTACCGAACAAAGCATTAGTTGAACAGAAAAAGTGCAACGTATAAAAGTTCAACCGAGGGCTATCGATACATGTACATGACACACACTCTATTTCTTGGGTCGTGTCACACGCCGTGGATTCAGAAACGCTAAAAAAAAACTAATACGGAAATTTAAATGAACAAAACCCCTCGAGAACGTTTAACATAGATGAGATATTCTTACCCGCCACACGCATTCGGCAATGGAAGCAAAATATTTACGTTACCGGTCGGCAAATGGAGCAATAGTGGCTGTTTGCAGTTAGTGCGCACAGCGATGATTGTGATCTCTGCTTGTCTGTATCTTATAGCTTGTATGGCCCACACCGTACCACAACCATCGGCTAAGGTCGCAAAGTGAATTATAGTTAATTGACTGAAGCTGATGGGAAGCGCGTGTTAGAGCCAACATAAGGCGAAAATGACCGCCCGAAAAATGAAGACACACCGGCTAACATATGTCCTGGGGCCATATATAGGAACCGAGGTAATCTTCTGCTCTATAGCCTGATTTAAACTCGGGTTCTCTCGTTTTTTCATTTCAGCATGTGTTACAAGCTCGTGGGAACAATAAATATTTTCCACTTTGATCGCATTTTTTAAAATCTAATTTATTAACCATAGATATCTAGGCCACTTACAAACGCGGCTTGTACTCATGCAAGTTCTTATTCAATTTGTAAGCACGAACTTTTACAATAAACATCATAATTGATACATCTCCAATTATATGTCTAACTAAAGCTCCTTCCCTTGACGCTCGTGAAATGACACCCAGCTAAAATAGTTCTGTCGCTAATTGCAATGGAACTAAGTGACCCTTGACAGTCCGATTATCTAAAAATGCATAATGTATATAGTATACATATATTTTTTGTTCTATGCTAAGACTAACCACCTTCGAATCAGTCTGCCTTCAAAATGCGGCGCGTGGGTGTATTTTTTGTATCCTTTCCATCAGATAAAAGTCGCCTTAACCATGTCTAGCCTAATTGCCGTTTAATTAGTCCTTTGTGTTTAATCTCTTGCAATGCCGACATCCGATACGATTAGTCTATGACAAACTGGACATGTTCGATAATGCAGCCGTAACGGCCGAGTAGCACTTATTCAACTTACCGATTAACGGGACCGTGAATCGTGTTACAATCGCTTTGAAGAAGTTATGATGTCAGTATTTTCTTAGAACTTTCGAGAGGTTCGAAGCCACAAACAATGGGTGATGCGCTCACACATGGTCTCAACACCGCTATGCGAGCCTTGGTGTGTCAGACCACACCCTAAGCGGAAACGAGCTTACGTAATGTCGTCTGACTGCTTCCTCGCCACTGATTTATATTCCTGGTTCGCAACTGGTTCCAATTGAGGACCCTAATATGATAAGTCCGCTATTTTGCAAGTACGTGTTTCTTATCGAACAATGGTTCTCGGACTTGCGTAAAAGACACAAAGCCCCAATACAAAAGCTGTGGAAAGACTGCGCTTAAACATGCGTGAGGTCTGCTTGAAGTGACTGTCCCATTTAGAAATTTAGGACATTTGCAATAAACAAGACACCTTGTATCGCCGTTCAGGTATGGTTTTTGCATAGGTTTGGGAGAAGACCTATCTGACAAACAAAGGACTTATAGACAACAAGTCTAAGCTAAACGACATCATGTGTAGAAGGCGAAAATAACATGAAAAAAAAAATTGTTACAGCGGTCTAAGATAGCACCTTACGTACGATCTACGTAGAGTTTTCCGAGAGTATTATCTGCTGCACAGCGAAGGTCTTCAGTGGGCACTGGTGCAGGTACCTTCACCAGCACAGCGTGTACCAGTTCTATACTATATTGATCCTTCTCAATATTTATCCCTGTAATTATCGTACTTCTATTTGTCTTCGAAGTAGTATTCCCTTCGCATAACCCGATCACGTCCAACAAAACACAGTGTATCTTTGAACGACAAGCTCTTGGCATTGGCAGAGCATCTGGTTCATATGCAATGGGTGACTCATTTAGCGTTCCCATGCCGGTCCCGGTGAAACTTTCGCTGTTGCTGCTTCAGTACTTGTATCAGCCGCCATTGTGACAGACATAGCTACACCAGCAGCTGTAACGAAAAAGCAGTGGTCCGTTAAGAGAAACGACCTTGGTGTTTAGTTTTAGCCAAGGGCTGTACCGCGTTCCTGTCTGTCTAGGCAGGGGCCTATAGCCGCCGAAGGTGCTGGTTTGCTTCCTGGACCTAAAACGAGCCTAACTACTACCACTGCTTCTGTGATTGCTAGCACACCCACGGTTAAGCGAATAATGCAGGCGGCACATTCTGCAAAGTAACTATTGAGCTTATTGTTCCTTTTTCGATCTTAGCCTGCTATCTTCTTCATGAAATTCAGAATGTTCCTGGTATTGTAATGCCGATAAAGATGTGTATGTTCAGTGAGTTGCGTTAACAGTGATTATATCTGAAGAAAATTGTTTGTTGCTGCTCAATTAAAAACCTAAACGATCAATATGGATAAACAAAAGGATTCCTGTCATTAGCTTCTCGTTGAGCTCATTCCAATTCTCCAAAAAAACATTCCAAAAAAAAATTCCTTGCGCTCAAAAGCCATAGCCTAAATAAACTATCCTAATTATTTGCAGGCTTTTATTACCAGTATAATAATCGGAGCCTAATTGCTTTTGCATTCGAAAATAATTACTTATGGCCAACCAAAGATCAGGACTTGACCACCAAATCCCTATTAGCTTTTCCTAATAAAATATGTTATCATTTCCGTCTTATTGCGTTACAACGTATTAATGTCCTTCGGGCTGCTTCATTAATGCTGCCATCAATTTCCTTTTAATGGACTTTATAAGTATAGTGATTCAGCAAGCCTAACCAATAATTAGTTTACTAATAGTGACAATGCCGGATAATTCATTCGTAAGGCTAAATGCAGGGAAAGGTTACCTCAAAAAATCCTATTATAGATAGTAGACTAAGAGACGGTACACTTCATCCAGTTCGGACCGATGTGTTTCGTAAACTCAAAAGGGTTTCCCGATCGAGTATATACATACCGAGTCTTTGTTGAAGATGGCCGAATAGAAAACGTTCGTTTCATTATGAAAGTATGTTAAAACACTGTTACATTTTATCTGTCATTTCGGTTGGGTCCTACTTTTAAAAGTCTGCGTATTCGTCAAATATCTGTAGGTAGTATCTGTGAATAACGTGGCAAACGTAAGAACTCTCTACACGTTCTTCACTAGATGCCTTAGCTTACAAACAGCGATGATTCACTAGAAGAAAATATCGTGGGAAGACCTATATAACTGGCCAATATCGTCGATTACGCGTATTGTAAAATTATCCTCACAATGAACAGATATGGCATAGGATGGCTTGGCGAAATCTGTCATCAACATATTCCTATTACGAGGTAGATTAGATATGTATAGGTAGTTATTGATATCATGAGATTCAGAAAGATGTAGTTATCTCGGCGTTCGCCTTGCTTGTTTGTGAGCAATTGAATGAACGATTTTTTGAACTTCTTAAGACATATAAGTCTGAACTTGGTCCGGTACAAAATAACGAACCCAATTATTCGTTAACCTTAAGCCATTAATAGATATATGAAACGGTCATGCATAAAATATATGTATGCGTAACCGTTTAAATCATCTATCGAAATTTGATGTGTTTCATTCACAGAAATAATTCCTTCAGTTCCGGTAAAAGCTCTGTCTGAATATTGGGAACACCCGGACCAAGAGGGTTTCGAACCTACAAAACCCACTCCGGGCCATCTACCGCCCGAACGCATCGAGGTACTCAAACGCGTCCAAGTTTCTTCGTTGCTTAGAAATCATTTCAGCTACATTTCTAATTTACTTGTTCCTAATGCTTTCTTGCTACCTTAACTAAACACATAACAACAGTAGATATTTAGTTAGATACTCGTCAATGGATACTACTTACACACGCCGGTCTCAATGTAAAACACTTACGGCTTAGTAGTACCGTACCTATTTCTCCAAATGTGGGGCTATCCCTCATCGTACGTTCATTTCTTAATCCCCGTTCTCCCGGTGTGGTAACGTCGCTACCTCAAACTTGCTCTGAGAAGCGATAATTAATAAATCTATTGGTGACCGTACCACAACATTTCCGGTTATCCCTTTTAGAAGCAAACACAAAATGGCGCCAGTAAACCTTTGTCGTCGTCATCATGCACTGACAATGTGCTTGCCCACTAATTTTGGAGGCGTATAGTGGTTTAGGTTCGAAACCGAGCGTAGGCACATTTGGCTTTTTGCTGAAAGCTAGCCACCTGAAGCGCTACTTTACAGCAGTATTGGACGTAAGACTCGAGTTATTCAACTTTCGGAGATTAACTGAGAGCTGGGACATCTCTGTTGCTGGCTTCGATACCGTTTGGATTGTCGTGTTAACGAATATGCACGCGTCACTAACGACCAGATCGACGAGTGGCAACGACGCGACGCGCTCCTTCGCCAGCAGCGATACGAGGAGCAACGAAGGCAAGACGAAGCATTCGAACGGCAGAAATTCGCGGACGTGAGGCACGATCAAAAGCAGGAGCAGCAATACCAGGCAATAGGAAAAACAGATACGGTCAGCGCAATGGCTGATCAGGGCCAGGACAATGTTCGGACAGTAGAAGAGACGCTACCTGATGGAACCAAGATCATTCGACGAATCATCACTAAAAAGGCCGGACAGGTGTGGTACTATCACTTTTCGTTGCCATAGGACTTGTTTGTTGGGGGGTTGAACCCAGCACGCACTTTTTGATTTAATGCCCAATTGAATGACTGTGTTGTGAACGACCCACTCATTCATATTACATGTTCAAGCTATAGTTGTTCAAACGATATAAAGTGGGCGTTTTACGCGACCGGCATTGCTGACGAACAGCTTTGGAGCCAACAGGGACGTGCTTTTGATAGGGCATCATTTAGGGAAATACGCAATAATATGACGCCCCACGTTAGGCAAGCAACTTTTTTCTCATTGCTATTATTGCTAATGTAAGTTTTTTTTCACCCACATCGAGTTCTATTTTCAATTGTAAAGCATCAAAAGATAAGGAAATTTTTTATAGACTTCGCAGTGCTTTCGAACGTGGGGTAACGGCGACTAATACATATTCTTGCAATCAAATTTCAATTAGAGCGAAAGAGATCCAGAATATTTAGGACAACTTGGTCGTATTCTCCGTTTCGATATCTTAAAGATTGGCTATGAAAGGGAAAATATGCCATTATAAAAGGTACAATCGTTCAAATATTACCTTTTGTTGTAGTTTCATTTGACCAGGAAGAATGGTTAAAGCGCCGTCAGTAATAACCATATATTCCCTTCTATTAGGGAACTCCTATACCGATGTCCGATGGTGAGCGAGAGGTTCAAGAGTTCGAAGACGTCTTGCCTGATGGAACTAAGGTTATCAGACGGGTTATTCGTACGAAGCGACCGGCACAACAAATCCAACAGATTCAACAGCAGAACGATGAAAACGTTAGTGTAAGTTTCCAGAGTTAAAATTCGATATATCATAGTTTCCTAAATGGAGTTAATTTTATAAGAATACATTACATTTCTACCATTGGAACAAAGCGCTAGCAACTACGGTTGTCCAGAGGATTCCACTTAGCCAAATGTGGCATTAGGATTAGTTCATAGATAGGTGACTTGTTGTCAGTCGTACACCGATTACCGTTAACTATCCCAGTTCGAGTCGAGCTTTGGCCTCGAGCGTTTAGAAGCTTCCGGTTGACCACTGTTTGTCATTTTGTTTATCTGTCGCTACGTGAAGGCGTGGGGTCGCAAGCTCTGTTTCGATTTCACCAACGGTCCTTACTGGCACATCGACGATTTCTATTCGCTACACACCGCCTGTCAATACGATCCACCCCTAAGTAGCTCGTATAATAGTAGTATATGCGCATCTATATAAACGTGTACGCTTGTGTTTTGTCATGTTCTAATAAGTGCTTTTGCAGTTGACGCATCTGTAGAGTAAAACTATTTTATTATGTTTTTTTTTTCCTTACGTCTTAGAAATAGGTCTTCAAATTTGTGCGTTTGCTCTTGACAACGTTAAATCCTTTACTTTGGAGCTATAATATACTGCATTGCTCCTGCTGTTGTTATTGTTGTGTATCGTAGTTATAGCGTAGCTGCTTCGATCTACAATCTAGAGCTCTAACCCTGTTGACCCTGATGGCCATTCCGAGCCAATAATGCCCGTGTATTTGTATTTCATTACGTTTCGTAACGAGTAGATTCGTCAGGTGGAAGAGACGCTTCCTGACGGCACGAAGGTAATCCGAACGTACCGAACGGTCAAAAAGCAGGTGCATCAGGAGGAAAGCATGGAACCGCAGGTACGACCAAGTCGAGGGCAGGCGAGGTTACCGGTCCTTTTCTATGCGCTGCTTTGTAACATGGTTCGATTTGTAATTCACTGCATATTAACGGGTGACTGCTATGTTTCGAAGTGCGCATTTGTGTGAGTTTATTGCGAGGTTACCTGGCCATCTGGATAAATTCGCTTGTTATTGGTCCCATTCCGCCATCAAGGACACAGACACAACATGCGTGTCGATGAAATGAGAATAAAACATGACCTTCTTTGTTGTACCTAAATAGTACAATGTATAGTGATGAAATATGTGATAATATAGCACTTTAGTTATTGAGTTTAATTTTTCAAATTTCAAATAAAGCTTCTTAAAAGCAGACCTGAGAGTATTTGAGCAAAGACAAAAGTTTGTTCTTTTGTTCGATACCGAAGTGCCAATGGGGCTAGCAAGGTGCTGCAATGACAATGTCGTTTCTATTTTTGGTACAGCCGTCTGTCTTGGCAGAACGCCCATAGCATTCTTTAACTGGTAATTGGTCAAAAAATAAGAGCACGTGTTCGAAATCGCTCGATCACCAACCACAACACCCACCGGGAACAAAACAACGGTCATACCTGTTTTTGGTGGCATCTAGAGCCAGTTTCAGCTGATTTGAACTAGACAATAGAGAAAACAGGCACAGACCCGTTCTCACTTTCTCGTTGGAGGCAAAATTTCTCACATAGTCACATAGTTCACAATGTTATATCTGTCGAGCTAGGCAGATCGAGATACATTTCGACTTTAGAGGCAAAAAATAGATATTGGCCTTCCATTGGAAGAAAACGCTTCGTTTACTGAGCTCGAGGGTTAATCTCAATTTTTCGTTTTAACGTTTTGTCTCGTCGATATAATGGTTTGCTAAGTTTTCCAAGGTGCGTCCTTCCATATATGTTAGTACTAAAAGGACAATAACTACAAGGCCTCTCCTGACTGCTAGATGGAAATTAATAAGTTTCATTCATTCTTAGGATGACGATGGGGATGATGATCGGGTTCAGCTGCATCAGACCGCTAGCCAACAACAAACCCAAGAGGTGCGACTACAACTGGATAATGTCTGAGACTAGTTACAGTAATAATAACAATAGATATAACAATTTTTGATAGCCATATTTATACCGAGTGTGTGTTGTCACTTGGCTTGTACGGAAGCGAAGCAGCGCCCCACTGCAAGATGACTGGAATCTGGAATAAATTTCTCTATGTATTGTCATTTGTATAGAAGCAATTTTTTTCAACCATGTCGTCAAGCGAAGGCCATGCAGCAAGGAAGTGTTTTAAACCCATTTCAAATAGTAAGATTATAGAAAATATTCTGGATTCGATAAAGCGGGCGACTATGTATGGCGCGGGCACGCACTTACTAGCAGGCTAATCGCAGGTGTGGGCTCAGTAACGCGAATTTTCCTTAATGCGGCTTCCGGCAGATCAAAAAGGTACAATGGCATGAGTTTAGCTGTGGCAAACGTTTAAGGCATTTGTTCGATAAGTTTTAGGCGAGGCTAATGTGAAAGAGCAAAAAAATAACCTCAGAGAAAGACGGAGATAGACACATGGATATTTAATTACATCATATGGCAGACAAAATTCAAATGACCACACCTCTCTATGGGATCAACATAACGCGACAAACACACGCGCCCCTTTCTAATCAACGAATATATTTGCTTTAACTTACGGCGACATGAAGGCATCGGTGACTAATTTTTGAGTTTCTTAAATGGCTAACACGCGCTCGCTTTGCTTCATACCCCTGCCACTGATACCCTGCATTCGACAGGTTCAACAGCAACAAACCCAAAGGATTCAACAAACTGAACAACAACAAACAGTCCAGCAAACGACAATCACCCAGCGACAGCAGGTAACGACAAATGTTGCACTTAATAAAAATTAATCGAAAATATTTTTTAATATACATATTATATGACATTGTAAAAAGAATTTATCACACTGCCGTACTACGTTAGGGCGCTGCTAGTTGTCATTTCATACAAAACGGCATATCGATCTCTTAAATAATAAGAATCATTAAAAAAAGACTTCGATAGTATAGTTTGGTCTTGCCATTCCGCTTATACGCATAATTATAATATATTTGTTAATTATTCTAATACGGCTTGTCTAACATTGCCGTTCAGATCGAGCGAAGGGAAGTGCACGAAATGACTCACGAGGTTCACGAGGTACTGTTAAATTTATTTAATTTGAGCACTTTGAGAGAAAACAGGTTTGCTTGCTTGCTTGCTTACATAGCACGAGTGTCCCATTTACGAGAAAAGAGCTGCAATGAAGCCTATTCTATTTTACTACGGCCGGTTTTAGTATCATAGTTAGGTACCGCTGTAGCCGGCTAGTGATTTCACCGCGAATGCAATGACGGATCTCGAACTTGAACTATCTTACGTAACTCTAAGTTTAATAGGCATAGGGACCAAGCGATTTGAAGGAGGTAGCTAGGATTCGCGGTTATACGCTTGAGAAAAGACGAGAAGAAGTAACTCTATCGAGCACAACGAGACCTTCGACGAAATGGTGCATCCAGCAGCTTTTTAATATTCGCTGTATTTATGATCAGCAGTGTGTCATTGGACCGTAGTTTCATTACAATTTTTGCCTGCCCCACCTCACAAACAACTCAGCCTTTATCATCTCGAAAAAATCAAACAACCGATTATTTCTTCTGCACTTTGACGCATGCTGTTGTGGTTACCTGTACAAATTATTCCTAGTGCCTAAAATGTTTTGTTTGTTTATTCACGGTTTTCAATGTTTGTGATAAGACGCATAGTTATCACAGAGTGTGCTTTCTGTTTTCTATAATAAATCGTCAACGCTAAACGTGTCAATTTATCTTCTCTCATAAATTTCAGTTTAATCAATGTAATAATAACTACTTTAAGTTCATCTATGGTTAATTAAACATTAAACAAACACAGGCTGATATCCGGCTATAAACGAGTTTCCAACCAGTCTTATCATACACCCAGACAACATCGTTACGACATTGTGACAACAATATTGTGACAGAAACATTTCGTGAAGCAGCTTTTTACAAACAGAGCGAAAATCTGCCGGCTTTTTTGCTGTGTACCTAGCGCTTAGCTGGCTTCAGGTTGAAATTGCACGAGCTCTTAGACTTTACATAGTTACGCCTAGAACATATTGCTCGATGAAACACGATCGACTAGAGCCTGGACAGAGATGATCAGGTAGCTCGTTCGCGTGAATCACCCTCAGTATTCGACGACAAGGTGCGCACGCAGGTAGTCTGCTGCTGAGAAGGTGCTAGGACATAACATAAAGGCGATGATTCAGATAAGGAGAAAGTGTTTCATGTACGAGTAGTCTTCTAGCACCAGCAGTACAAGGTTGGACGGCGATAAAAGGAGAGGCTTACGGCTTTGAAAAATCTGTTAGCCTCTAACTACGTTTAAGTCAGTAGCCTGTAGGCGTCCACGCAGTGACAACTCCGCTGGGTTAAATCGATTCCCGAAAAACAGAAACATTGCGTTACATTCATTATTGCTGCGACTTACACAGATCCAACAAGAACAGCATCAGCAGATCGAGGAGCAAAGGCCAAATCTGGTATCACAGACGACAATCAGTAAAATATCATTCAACAGCAACAACAGGTAGACAGACTCCTGAGCGAACACTTTTCGCTTTTTTTGGAAAGTAGCAGAGAAGCACCCGAGCACCTTCTATAGGCAAGCCTTTATGTCGTCTTAAACACACCACTACCAACATTTCTATCGAGACCATCCCATTTATACTAAATTAGATGCAAACAGCTAATGTCTTTTTCAGCGACCCTAGTTCGAGATAAATACAGATTGATTAAAAATTTTAGGTGCTATTTTAACTTCTTTGTATGTGTATCTTTTCCTTAACGTCACTCACGATCAAATCTGATACTAATATCGTAAGAGGCTCCATTCATTAACTAGTGTTCGTTTTTATATACTACTTCCTCCTAAAATTACAATTATTAAGAGCTTTAGATTGAGGAATATCAACGATGATTACGTTTCAGACGCGATCTCGGTCTCCGCCGCCGCGTACGATTGAAGCCGCTCCTGAGCCTCGCCAGGCTCCGAAGCCCTCTCCTCGTAGCCGCTCTCCACCCCCTAGACCTTTGCAGGCAGCACCAGAGCTTCAACGTCCCCAGCAGCAGCCCAGAGGTGGATCACCCCCGCCTCGAGTACTTGGACAGGCCCCTGAACCTCGTCAGCCTCAGGGCCAATTACAGCAATCGCCATCGCAATCTCATTCTGAAACCCCTAAGGCTTCAACTGCAGCTCCCGAGCAACAGCCAACAGCCATGCAGAGACCTCCGGCTACACCCGGTACTCAGAGAAGGGTATGTGTATTGCAATTTTCAAAATATTACGGCATTTTCCTTTACCACTAGAAACTTCGGAATGTACGGAGTGTTGTTATTACAATATTGGACAGTTCATCAAAAAGTCTAGTCAATCCCTCGATTATCTTCATTCACTTTTTTGTTACCCTTCCTTTTGGATTGTTTACGAAAGTGCTGGAAAAAAGTTTTTTCGTTTTCTGTTTACCGACTTCCGACTTGCAATTGATCTTTATTACACGATCAATTTACATAGTGTTGTTGGGTTTCATTCATCTGGCCAGACCCGGCACACGTCATTAACTAAGATTACATTTGTAGATAGTTAATAATAGTTCGTATCACTTTTACCTACCTTTTACTAAAAGTTTAGCCGCTTTGCTCGTTGTCATTAGATCATCATGAGTCAAGTCGCACTCCCGCACAGCTTACCAGATTATTTCAGGCCATACCATGTGCTCTTGTGCAGTTTTAACTAGCCGGAACCCTCGATTACGTAAGATTCTTGCCTGACGTTACGACGTTGAGGAAACGCTTGTCTTTTCCATCAATTCTACCAGCCCGGAGACAAGGCTATAGGTGGGTCGTTTTGAGACATTTCCCGAGGACAGTGATCTCTAGCCATTCATCCCGAAGCGGCATCACCGTGTGAAAGGAAGATTAAAAAAGGAACGAGGGAGAAAACTACCTACAATTATCGATAATGATCGGTTCTTCTTTCACCGGCGAGGTCAAGTCCTGTCTATAAAAGCTACTCAATGAAAGAGCACATCCGTCAGTTCGCGCGCGGGTGTTGGCTGCTGAGGCTGTAGTGGTAGTGGACGTAGCAATTCAGTCGAAGCGACTCACTGTCCCTACCGTCGTCGTCGTTGTTGTCATCCTCGACACACTTTGAACAGAGACGGTTTCCTCTCACCAAAAGTCAGCGGCAGCAACAGCATGAAAAAGCCAATTGCGGTAGTCATACATTCCGGCATTCACGTATACCCACACAAACAAACATGCATATAAACGAGGGTAGAAAACCTTTGCCCTAGCTATTTGTCTGGCACAGATCGACTGGCGGGTGGGCTTCCCCCGTTTCAGTAGAAGACTTTACAGCGCTAACAGTTTTGAATGGTAGTTGGAAAAAGTGCGTGCTGCCGCAGTATTTCTGTGCATTCACAGGGCCAGACTAGTGACTGTACAGATAGTCAGCTGAAAGCTCGGCTTCAGTAACACCCTTGTATAAGTTCAGCATTGTGATTGTGTTTTTTTTTGCTACGGTTTTAGGCGGATCGCAATTGGGAGGAGCAGCAAAAGCGCGAATTTAAGGAGTATTTGCGCATTCGTGAGCAGCAGGGTCCTCCACCACAGGGTCCCAAATCGAACGCCGACTACGTGAGTAAATACCAAGAACAACTGTTAAAGAGGAGGCCTTCACAGGGTGGACACCAGCCAGGATCTATTGAAGATTATCGGAAACAATACGAACGATCGACAAGAAGGTAAATGGATTATAATCTCAGACGAAAAGTGTTGAACATAAATGTGCGCATTTTGTATTTCTTCGATTCGAAGACTGTCACTATGCAGGCATCGAAGATCATGGCGTGTCTATCGGAACCATCTTGAACGAATGCCATTACATCGTATAGTGCAACATATTGATAAAAGTGAAGGTGCTATCAGTCCGATGCAGTTATTCTCATTTCTGTTAATTAGTAATATTTAAATTAAATAAGTTGTTATTCTATTAAATTATAGAGAAAGTACACCAACGTCTGCGCCACTCCCTGGTTCGAATACAGAATACCTCCGTATGTACGAGGAGACTCTCAAGAAGAAGGAAGAATACGACAGACAACGCGCGGAAGATCGCTTCGAGAAAGCGCAAGGCAGAACCCAGGAAGAATACAAAAGGTCTGTACAATATTAACATCTTTGATACTTAACACATTACCACTGTTATTGCCTAAAGGAAATTGACGTATTATTAGGCTGTGTAAGCTCGAACACTTTCGAAGAGCTACGGTTGTGTAACAACATTAAATAAATTGTCCAAGAGTTTCACTTCGTAATGTCATTTACACATATGGCTACTCTATCGGAAGTTGATTCTGTCTTCTATCCGTTTATCTCGTCTGTTGGGCAGATTCTACGAAGACGAGCTACGGCGTAAACAGATTCTCGAGCTTGAACAGGAAGAGGAGCGACGGCGCTATCTTGAAGAACAATCTAAACAACGAGAGAATATTTCCCGTAGTAAAGAGCTTTATCAGCAACAATTGCAAAAGGACATGCAAAAAAAGGAACATTTGATTACAAGACCAACGGGACTACGCCCAGAGAGGTAAAACAGCGAGATCCATTGCTTATTCACTACAAACATGACATTCTGCTTTTTGTAGGCCTCAATCCGTCCAGGAGGTTCCTAAGAGCAAGCATTCGATCTACCGCAAGAGTTAGATGTGTGATGTGGATCATTTTTGGATTTTCTATTATACCAAACGTTTTAGTCCACGCGTATTGTCCGTTTTAATAGCAGTCTTGAAATCAGTGTTTAAGTAGCTCTTTTAGCGCGTCCAAAAGACCGCTGATTCAGTCTATTGGCATCCCCACTCAGGGTTGAGGTGGTATGATTAATATGTTATACAAAAGGTCCTGTCTGAAAACATCTCGCTTTTGCTTGTTATCTCGGTAGCTTGTTTGCGTTCTTTCGAAGAAGTTTTCACTGCTACTCGTTTCTAGGCTGCCCGTGATGGTCTCTTAGGCAGACGCTAGTAAACGTGCCAAAGTATCTAGAGTCTAGAATAGGACAAAATAGGCAGAATACATTGGCAATTTTTTGATCAAAGCCTACACAACACGACAAATACCTTAAGGGCCATTACATGCCACTGTCGTGGTGGCACTGTTTGGTGCGTTGGTGACATGTACCCGACATTCAGGGGCAAAGCTCAATAAGTAACATATGAGCTGTTGAAGAAATGCGAGCAAAAGTACCGAAAAGCTACTTTGGTTTACTATTTTAGCTACAGGACTAAAAAAATGAAAGTTAATGGCACAATTTACATTCTAGAACATACATGGCTGATATCAGTATTATCTGGTGCCATTATGAACGAAAGAAATATAAAAGTTTCTTAGTTAAAAATATAGATTCGTATATTAGAAAAATCATACAAACAACATTTAGGTTAATGATTTTAGGTTGATTGCTTTTATACGTTATCTTAATGAAGATACTTCTTTTAAGAACAGTGCACAAATATTGCAGATAGGATGGTGCACAAAAAAGCTGTTTAGCAAAAACTGTACACAGGCAACTGCAAGCGACAGCATCTGCTATATTATTTACAAGGATCTGCTATAGGATTTATAAGGGGAAGTTTAAAGGATACTACTATTTTGTTACAGAGTGGGTGCTCAGGCCAATCACTGGGAGAGAATCGCTGATGAGGAACGCATTAAGATGAATTTCAAAGTTCCGCCATCGCCAAAAGTTCAGAGGAAGAACCTTGACGCGTGCTGGCCACCAAAGGTATAACTACGTTAGAGTAGGCCTTCCTAACGCCTGTCAAAACTATGTTTTATGTAATGATATTTTAGACGTGTTTATCATGGCGTTGAATCATGACGGTTTGGTTCGAACATGTGCTTTTAATTGTGTAAATCAAGCGCTTTTAATTGATTCCAGCGTGAAGATGGCGTCCTAGTAAGACCGGCCTTCTCCCGCGAAAGTAAGTGGAGTTGCATAACGACTTCTTTTGTATGGGATCGCTCTAATGCATTTTGTCGTGTACGAAACCAATCTCGTTTGTCGTGGTCCTATCGGGGTTTGTTTGTAGTGTGTAGTGAACTAACGGTTCAAACAAACTCAGGCGCGCAAGTGGAAAAACAACATTTTAAAATTGACTTACACTGTACGAATATGGGCTCCAATCGAAAGATCTAATTTGGTCTGGTTATATGTGCTTAGACTTGTGTTTCCGTAACGGATTATCGCGATCTTATTACCAAGTAAATCATTTGTTTCGCCCAGAAGAGTATGTGCTGTTCCTTGAGCCCTGGTCTTCGTATGTCTCCGTGGCCAGTGCATGAACCTTCGCTAGCTTATGTATCTGATGCGTGCTTATTGTGCTGCGTGCTAAAATATAAAATAACTCTTCTGTTATGTGGTAGCCCGGCATGAAACCTTTTAATCTTCCGCCCTATCTCGCAAAGTGATCCAATTTTAAAGGCGTTATCACAACACACCCACGACGCACCACGGAACGGCCCGAATTCAGGCAATTTCGCTGTTTACCGCAAATCTCTCCTTCATCTTTCCAGCTCATTTTTATTGAACCCGTTCTCTCTTACCAGTGTCGACATTACCTACAATGACCTCGTGTTTGTTATTCATTCGAAGACTGCTTTCAGATTATTCTCCCTTTTTGCGAGACCTAATGACTCAATAAGTTTTGCTTGTAAACCCTTGCACTTTGCCGTTGAAGTAAGTCTTGTTCAATGGCAACGTTGAATTCATAGTTTTGGCTCCTCCAATTCCCTTGACTGCCTTTCATTACCAGAGCCCTTCTTCGACCTAGAGCCTTCCCTGCAAGACAACCTAGGTTAGTCTCCCCGGTTTTTGGTTGCACAGCTCCCCTTGTTGGCCTTCCCTTTTTTTACTGCGTTTTGATTATATATATATTATATAATATAAT